CCTTTTGCCAAACCAAATGTTTAATTTTTTCTTTCTTCGTCCAAATGCCAGTCGTTGGCAGCGTGGTTTAAAGTAAATAAAATATCTTACAATGCTACTCTTAACGATTATATTGAGCTTGAAAATGAAATTCGTACATCAAGCTTTCCTACATATGACGATATTATGGAGCACTATAGCTCTAAATTACTGAATCCAATTCTAAGCGCAGCGGAAAGTAGTGATGAGGGTTTGGTGGATGTAATTGTTCATCAGCCTTCCTAGAATGAAGTAGAAGAGTCATTTAAAATTCTCTAACTCAAAGTCTCCATAAGTCGAACCTTTTCTTTGCAAAATTGGACTTCAAGTTATGGAAGTTTGATTGTATATATAAATATATGAAAACTTTGTTAAGAGGCGTTGTCATTAAAAATATATCTCCTCTAAATCGTAGAATATTGCTAGCCTGTCGCTAGCTTCCATTTCTAAAACAAAGTACGTTTTTTTAAACAGGTCGTCGGTTACAATTATTTATTCGGTAGAGTAAATTAAGGTACTACCTCAACAAAATTTGCCACTTAGGCACTTGTAGTTCGCAAAGATTTATAAAGCAGATAACATAAAAAGAATCACAAACATATATACAGGGGTTGGACTATGGATAAGTAATGGTAGTGTGAGAGGGAAGGGTATTATAAGGATGTATGAATTGAAGGATAAGTGAGATTTTAATTGAAGTTAACCAGAATCTATGTGGACAAATTTAGCCACTTCAATTGGACGAGTGAAATGATCAATTGGACTCAAGTTAAAGCGGGCAAACATATTAGGGACATAAGGGGAGGTGAAATGGCTTTTATGCGTGAAAAGTAATTATTTAGCACTTAACTATACTCTATTCTCAATTGAACTAGAACAGTTCATAGGACTAATATCTGTAGTTTCTCTGTAATTCATGTTAAAAAGGCTGTACGTAGTTTAGGGAGTGTAAATGCCCACTACTGATCAGCATACCTAGAAAAAAATGCGGTGCTTCATATACGAAACAAAATCTTCCAAGATACTTACATTTAAGAAAACTTTTATAAATATTAATATATATACTTAAGTAAATAATAAATTTATGTTACACTATATGTTACACTGGTTGTTGTGGTTAAAAATCATATTTCAAAATAAGTAACTCTCTTAAAAAGTGTGGATATACTTATATATACTTATATTATATATACTTATATATACTAATATACTTATATTATATATAATATAGTGTATTCATTTTTTTAATGTTTATAAATATATTAAATTTGAAATTACCTTAATGTAATGCGCAAGAATAGATACATTTTTGAAATCGAGCGCTGCATCAATTTCGTCCATGAAATAAATTGGTGCTGGCTTGAAGTAATGTAAAGCAAAAACTAAAGCCAATGCAGACAGCGTTTTTTCACCACCTGATAAATTTGATATGTTTTTCCAAGACTTTTTTGGGGGTCGAACGCTAAACGAAACACCTTCAGTAAATGGATCGTTCCAATCAACGAATTCCAGTTCTGCATTACCGCCTTGCGTTAACATTTGATATATCTCCTTAAGGTTTTTCGTTATAATGCTAAAACCATGCATAAATTCATTGTAACGCTTTTTACGTACATCATCATACAGTTGTCGCATTTCATTTCTTTTGGCTGTAGAGTCATCAAATACTTTTTCACGTTGTATATATTTCTCTCTTACCTTATAGTATTCATTGATGCATGAGAGGTCTGGTTTTTTTTTGTGCAATATTTCCTCTTGTACACTCTGCTTGTACTGTACATCTTGTATTGTGTATGAGTTTAACTCTTCTTCCGTGTATGTGTTCAAGGGTTCCTGTGGCTTTTTATCTCCAGGTATTTCATTTAGTTTTAGCGTTTTTAACTTCTGCTCCCAATGCGGTATTTGTGATTTTACTTCGTTGATACAATTAGTTGTTGTGGTAAGTTTTTCTATAATTGCGACACGCTTCAACTTTTGCTGTTCTTCAAGGACCTCAATTTCTTTTATCTGTTTTCGTACAACACTGGCACCAGATTTAGTATTAACTAAAGCTTCTTTTGTCTCTTCTAATTGTTTAGTTAATTTTACGGTTTCATCATCGTGCTTCTGGCGTTGTTCATCAAGCTCAGTTATGTCATCCTGGGACTTCACAATCATTGAATTTAAATTCTCAATCTCCTTCTCTGTTTTCTGGATATTTCGCTCTGAAGAACTGACTTCATCCTTCAACTTAGTTATGTTCTCGGACAGTTTATCTATCTGATTGGATAAATTTTTAATTTTTCCCTGTACGAATTTTATTTTATTGCTATGAATTTCCTCTATATCAGCTTTCGTTGCTGCAATTTTTTTATCTAGTTTATCGGTGTCAACTTTAGCGTTTTCCACACTCTTTTTCTTCTCATTTATTAGTTTTTCTAAATCATTGACTTTAACCATGTCGGATTTTGTTGCATCCATATGTTTCTTTTGTATCTCTAATCGCTCAAAATCTCTTGGTAATTGCTCTTCTAAACTTTTATTTGATATTGATAGTTTTTTGCCATCATTTTCAAATTGTACACGCTTTGCTCGTAGTTGAAGCAGTTCGCGTTCAATACGACCTTGTTTTTCTTGCAAAAAATTGATTTCAGACAGAAGATTCTGGGCTTGCTCTTGCATTTCATCTAAAGCTTTTTCGCTGGTTGAGCTGTTGAAATCTGGTTTGGTTTTCGTTTGCACTTTGGAGCTCATTTTTCCACGAATTTTTGAACGACCACCACCTGACATAGTACCGGATGTTTCGATTATATCGCCACTGACTGTTACAACACGAAACCGACGCGCACCAAAACCAATACGTGACGCTACTTCGAGATCATCTGCAACGAGTGTATCACGAAGGACAAAGTAAAATGCGGGCAAAACACGTTCATCTTCGACACGAAGCAAATCATAAAGTCGTGGTGTGTTTTCTGGACTAAAGAAGCATATTAAAAAATCACTTTGTTTTATCAATTTGCTTACTTACGTTTCTATAGGCCCAGAATATTTGCTGAAATGTTTTATTTTCTCCAATGCAATAAACGATGCTCGCCCAACACCAGCTTGTCTCAAGCTTTCAATACATTTCTGTGCTGTGCGAACATCTTCCACCAAGATATTATCCAAACGACCACAAGCAGTTGAAATCGCAACATCATATTTTGAGTCGATACCGGCCAAATCGCCCTAAATATACACATTGAAAGAAATTGGTATTTAAAAATATAATATAGACATACTAAACGTCCGAGTACACCAGGTATTTTGCCAGAAAGTTTTTCTCTTATCAAAAAGTCAACAACTTTATTGTTGTAACGGGCCATTCTTAAACTGGTCACCTTTTCATCGATCGAAAAGAGTATAAAATCAATTCCTAATAAGCATACAAACTAATTGGTGTTGTAATCAATTACTTACTTGTGACTTAAGTACGTTGACTTGTTGTCGTTTGGTCTTCGCATCTTGATTTAATTGCACCAATTCCTGTTTTTTTTCCTTGATACATAGAGCTATTTCTGGCAGTTTTGCCTGAATCTCTTCAAACTTCTCTTTTTGTGTTTCCAAACTTTTAAGAGAAACATCATATGATGTTTTAAGAGTTGCATATTTGTTTGCTTCTACTGTTTCATCACGTTTCAGGATGTTTAATTCTTTCTCCAGCAGTATTTGTTCCGACTTTGCACTGTCAAATATTTGTTTAAAATCAAAAAGTTCCGTTACGAGTTTAGTACGTTTTTCACGCAGAGGTTTCATTTGCTCTTCGACAAGAATGTGATTTTTTTGTAAATCCTCATCAGCTTCTGCTTTCTGTTTAGTTAGTTTCTCTACTTTCGTTTCACATTCTTTGATTTCAGCTTCGTTCTTCTCTGGCACTTTCTTCAAAGCCTCCAAATTCGCTTCACATTTCTCTAGCGAAACTTTATTCTCTTCACGACGTTTATTAACTGCTGCCATAGTATGTTGTACTCTAGTAAAATCACTGCTTGCTCTTTCTAGATCCTTTACTAAATCTTCTCTTTTCTTTTGTAAAGCATCAAATTCCCTGATCAATACGAACACAATTAGAAAATTAATCAAACAGATGGTTAATGATTTCCAATAGACAGCAATAGGAAGTATTTGCTAATAGCACTTATAAGATATTATAATTGGTTGTTTTTTTATTTAGAAAAAAAAGGATCGTGAATTGTATGAAAATGGAATAAGACATCCAGCATTTAAATGTAGTAAGCGGTGGATGTGCTTATTTTATTAAGATCAAATTATATACTATAACAACAAATTACATACTAAATTAAATAGCTGAAAGCGGCTTCACAATGTGTCACTGTGCATCTTTACTGGAATGCACTAAAATGACTTCATCAATAAGTGGAAAATCTAGTTATCAGTAAATGCTTATCACAACAGCAGACGAACTTGTCTAGTTTGTTAAGGGTTTGCATTTATTGTTGGCTCAAGAGTAGAAGCAATGAGAGCTAATTGTTTCAGATGAGACTGATGATATAATAAAAAAAAAATGCTAACATAATGTACATGAGAATGAGAAGTAGTGCGAATAAAAAAATTAGATCTAAGCTTAAAAATGTTATTGGTGATAACCCTTATGCAATACGTGTTGGAATGAACACATTTAGGACGTGTGCGAGTTAGGCTAAGTTGATGCTAAACCAAATGGGAGATTTTTTGGGATTTTTTGCACTGCACACATTTAGCCATTTATCAACACGTATCGACACATCACTACATTATCGGCACAACTTAGAATTTCCCTCATTTAGAACGCAACTTAGCCTAACTCGCACACGACCTAATATGCCAATAATATGAATATCAATAGTTTTGACTAGCCATTTCACAAATAACTGTCAATATGATGGATTTAATCTGTGTAAATAAATTCTATTACATATATTATAAAAAATAATGAATTCAATATGCAAATTATATGGTTTACGGTTTCTCCTTCTCCAACAATTCCAAAACTATAAAGTAAAAAAAAAAAATGATGCTTACATGATTTCTTTACGTTCCAGTTCTTCTTTTTCTTTACGTTTCGCTTGTAAATCCATAGAATTTCTATCATGTTGTATCAATTTGTTAGAAACCTCTTCTTCTTCCTTTGTGTATTCATCTAATTTTTTACGTTTTTCACTAATGTACTTTTGTATTTTCAGGTTTTCAGTACATGTATTTTCGTTCTCCAGCCTTAAATAGTTCAAGGCTTCATTATATAGCGGTTTTAAATCATTCATTTCACGTTCAGACATTTTTAAGCGATTCTTTTCTTCAGTGCGCTTGTCTGTCAACTGTTCAATGCGTTCGTTAGTTTTTTGAAGCGGTTCCTTGTACCGACTTGTGCCTATAATGTCTTCCAAGTACTCCAACATACCGGTCTCATTTTCGTTCTGTCCTTTTGCTTTCATCATCGCTATCGATTCGACTTCGCCCTAATATATTTGTATAAGAATATTTTCAATATAATAACTAAATTATCTATTATATATAATAACACTAACCTGTAGAATTAAAAACCGATTATGATCCAAATCGATATGATGCGTTTTTAACAATTTTGCCACCGCTTTAAATTTTACACGTCGTCCATTTATGGTATAATACGAAGAATTATTACGAAAAGCTACCCGCTCTATAATCACTTCGGTACCAGGAATTTCTTTGCACGTTTCGTCATTGACATACACGATTTGGCGAAAGTGCACCGCAACGGAACAAGAAGAGGTGTTTGGATGATTTCCTGAATTATGAAGCAATGTGGAAACTTTTTTGCATCGCATTTTATTAGCGCGATAGCCGAATACAAATAATAGCGAATCAATCACGTTGCTTTTACCGCTACCATTCGGACCAATAATAGCAGTAAATCCCTAGAATATAAAAAAAAAATTACATTAATCACAAATAAACATCGCTCGAATTTAGTATTGTTATTATTTACGTACATGATGAAAAGGTCCCAATTTAACACTTTGCCAATATGATTTAAAATTTTTATTAATTATTTTTGTTATAATGAGCCTTGTTCCGGTGCTTTCCATTGAACAGTGCGGCGGGATTGGCGGTGGTATATATATGTCACCGATATACGTGCCTGCTTCTTCATAATCCGATATGGTAGCGTCATCCAATCCATACCCTGGCGCATCTATATCACTTACTGCTTGATTATTTGACTCAATAACTGGTACAGGGTAGTGTGTTTGTTTACTTGGTTGTGAAGGAGTTGCCTCATCTTGCTTTGAAACATTTGGATCAGACATGTTTCACTTATTGCGCTCTAATATAAAATGAATTTATGTTATATATTAGGTCTGTTCCACGAGCTACTCATAGTAACTTTGAGTAAACACTGTGTATACACAAGCGCGTTCCACCAGCAAATTTTCAAGTATTTTTGTGTAAATTTTACTTCTATTTTACTCATGTTTTACTATGAGTAGCTCTTGGAACAGACCTATTTTAGAGACAATTAAAATTCACGTATCTACCTCTAATTCTAATAAGTTTTTTATTATCAAGAATGACATTTTAGAGCTGCCAATCCTGTTTCAACTTAATGTTATTAAAATGAAACGTAAATGCTTACGTTGTTAATTGAATATGAATATATATAAAGGGTATAAATAAATATCAATATTGACGTAAAAACAAGTTTTTTTCATATATAAAATATGAATTAGTAATTTTCAATGTGAAACCATTTAGTAAAAATATCACTATAGGGGTATCCACTCTGTCTTGAAAACTCATTGTAAGGTGCACGAAATTCAAGAATGCAACCTATGTTGCTTCAATGTGAAGCAACATATGTCAAAACAGCTGATTTTTGCCATTTTTGTTTTGTTGTAAGCAAATATACATAGGTTTTAGTATAGGAAGATTGCAAGCAATCGCACGAAACTTTGTGCGTGTATTTTGTTGTTGTTAATTACATGCTCGTACAATCTGTGCATTTCGTGCACCTTGCAATGAGTTTGCAAGAGAGAGTAAATACCCCTATAGGTTTTAGTATAGGAAGATTGCAAGCAATTGCACGAAACTTTGTGCGTGTATTTTGTTGTTGTTAATTGCATGCTCGTGCAATCTGTGCATTTCGTGCACCTTGTAAGAGAGATTGAATACCTCTTATATATTGTTATAATATAATGTATAATACCTTCTGCTCAAAAAGTACTCGGATTTTGTAAATGAAACACAAATTTAAATTTTATTCCAAATTTATTTTATCTTCTTCAAAATATGCTCCTTCTGAAGCGATACACATATGCCAACGCTTAACCCAATCTTCCATAGACTTTTCGTAGGCCCGTGAGGGTATGGCTTTTAGTTCCTTCAGCGAATTCTCTTTTACCGATTCAATCGACTCAAAACGCTTACCACGAAGGGTCAATTTAAGTTTCGGGAACAGGAAAAAGTCGCATGGGTCCAGATCGGGCAAATATGGTGCCTGAGCGTTCATATTGCCCGAAATTAAGGAAATCATAGGTTTTCTGTTTAAATTTACATGTTCAAACACCATTTGTATCTGCGAATGCGAAATAGCATTCAATAGCTTCATTAACTTTAGCGGATTTTAGGTGTGTGGATTATTATTATTCATTATTCGTCTCATGTACATTAATGTGGGAACTCCTGGAAGCTGTATGATTCACATATGTATGTATGAAATATTCAAATTGAAAAAGATGTTAAACACTTGCTATTTATTAAGGGAAAATAAAAGAAACATAAGCAAGTTGAATGTTCCAGTTTATATAGTAGTAGGTTCGAAATTTAGGATAACCCAAATTTTAATGAAACCATATCCATATAATATTGATATACTGCCAATTAAGAAAAATTATAACTACACACTTTCGAAATGTAGAAGGGTTTTAGAAAATGCATTTGAACATTTTAAAAGCTCATATTCGATGAATAGGAAAGAAAGAATTTGATGAATAGAATCACATGATGCGAATATTATTACAATTTTTTAAATGAAAACAACGACCGAACTGAAGAAAATTAGTAAAAACCAGCATCTTAAGTAACTACTCATTCTTGTTGATTTAGAACCTAGTGTGGAAGAAATAAGACGTCTGGGTTCACCTTTTTCTTTTTTATAGTTTTTTTTTTCAACATATTTAAATTTAAAAATTTGCACTGCTTTGAAAATATTTTCTCGGTTTTTTCAAAGACAGCTTTTTTTTAGAAATAAATGTCACTTTTTCGAAATCTTAACTTATCTTTTGCTGAAAGTTTATCTTTTGCATAGTTGCATTTGAAATTCCCCTTAATTTCAGGCTTCGTTTCAATAAAATTAAGGCTATTTTCCTTTATTTCATTCTAACTTTGAAACTGACTTTTGTATGGAAAAAATTTCAACTTAATTTCGCTGAAACGAAGACGAAATGAAGATTTTTGCGAAATTAAGATGTGTCCGAACATAGTCTTCTTCTACTTCTTCTTTTTAAGTACATTAAGACCGAAAAGTTTTCGGAAATTCTCATTTAAAATTCGCGCGCTGTATATTTTCCGATATTTTAAGTTTATGTAGTTTGGCAGCAATGTCCTTAATTACTATGCCAAAAATGAGCGCGATCTGTCAGACAGTTCGTTTACGGCAGCTGTTGAAACCAGTTCACCTCAGTAGGGCGTTGCGAAAAAAACAATGGAAAAAAATATTGAACAAAGAGTTTGCATCAAATTTTGTGTTTCGAACGAAATTTCGTGTGCAGAATCGTTGCGAATGCTACAAAAGGCTTATGGGGAATCAGTTTTATCGAAAACTCAAGTTTATGAGTGGTACAAAGCCTTCCAGGACGGTCGTACGACCGTCGAAGACATTTCGCAACGCACTACTGAGGTGAACTGGTTTCAACAGCTGCCGTAAACGAACTGTCTGACAGATCGAGCTCATTTTTGGCATAGTAATTAAGGACAGTGCTGCCAAACTACATAAACTTAAAATATCGAAAAATATACAGCGCGCGAA